GGCTCCTTTTTTACCAACGAATAGTGGGACTGACTGTCACATTATAACACTCCCACGGCTGAAAGGGCGAGCATGTTTGGTGGGACGGGGATTCAAACCTGCGACCCACATATTGCGAGTCAAGCGCCCTAACAACCTGGCCAAAAACATGCTACAAGACACATAAATAAAAGTAATGATAGATCAGTTTATCGACCCTGCACTACTTTACGTCATATTTTAATCCACCCAAAAGACCCCACGAAACCCGAAAACGGAATCAGTGGCGTATATAAAATTCCATGTGAAACATATCATTAAATGTATTACGATGAAATATGTCGAACATTGAAAATACGAATAAAAAATATTTTAAACTCTGCCAGATCGACGATTCAGGCTTAGCACAAAACGTTCTTACTATTAAAAAAAAGAACACATTCCTTACAAACTAAATAATAAATTTCAACGCATTTTTCATGAGTCCTAGTGTATCTTAGGTTGCAAAAATCATATTAACATAGGTGCTGGTACCACATGAATACCACGTGTTACTACTGTGATTGTACATAACCTACAATAGATCACGTGAAACAGTACCCGTGCACAGTCGAAACGTTCGGCAGTTTCCTCCCAATCTTTTTGTGTTTTTCATTTAATTTCGCGTTACTGGTACAGGTTTTAAGGAAACTGACCGTCTGAATTATTTTGCTTTAGGTATAGTTATTGATAAAAACAAATCAACACGTATAACTTAAAACGGTACTATAATATAAAAAACCAGGAGCTAAGTTGATGTCTAGACCAATGTTTCCCAAAGTGGTAGTCGCGGCCCCCCTGGAGGCCGTAAAGCTTTTTCTGGGGGGCCGCTAATAAAATGGGCCAAAAACAAAGATGCTGAATTAATTTTAATTCTAAATAAACAATGAGCCGATAAAAATGATGTTGAACTAATTAAATGATACAGTATGTCGAAAGGAGATGTTACTGTTGTTACTACAACACTGTTTTTCAATCATCATGCTAAAGTAATAGGTTGGGGGTCTCGAACTTTTTGATTCACATCAAGGGAGCTTGGGAACCACTGGACTAGATTATCATGGTTCGAAACCGTGTCAGAAAATAAAGCAATAAATAGTTTCAAAGAAAATTTTAAACATAATCCTTTACTTTAAAATAAAAGGACTCAATATAACTTTGGAATTATAGCAAATAATAGTATAGGAACAATTCGTAAGGGTTCAAGAAATTTAAAGTAACATTTTCCCATCTTTTTTTGTGTGTGTTAATAAAAAATTACAGAACATTGAAATCAACTTTCTGATTTTTGAAAGTTTGGCATAACTTCCTGTCCGTAGAATACTTTAATATGGTATAGACTGAAATTTTCGACCTAGACGGCGCATGCGCTAACCTGCCAGGTCAGAAGACCCTGGAATTCAGGTGCAACTGTCTCTAATTTATCAATGCTGACCAGAGGAAAGGCGACCAGTCGGCAGCACCCGTCGCATACACAGCTACTCTTAACCGAAATGACGAGTTGACTGTGGTATTTATAACCCGCCCCTAGCTGAAAGGCTGCATTACGTCTCGAGCCCTAGACCATTCGCTCTATAGACTGATACACTAACCATTGACGGGTTGACTGTAGTATTTATAACCCGCCCCTAGCTGAAAGGCTGCATTACGTCTCGAGCCCTAGACCATTCGCTCTGTAGACTGATACACTAACCATTGACGGGTTGACTGTGGTATTTATAATCCGCCCCTAGCTGAAAGGCTGCATTACGTCTCGAGCCCTAGACCATTCGCTCTGTAGACTGATACACTAACCATTGACGGGTTGACTGTGGTATTTATAATCCGCCCCTAGCTGAAAGGCTGCATTACGTCTCGAGCCCTAGACCATTCGCTCTGTAGACTGATACATTAACCATTAAGCCACGCCCGACCCAATCTAATAGTACGATTTCCTCGTGCACACTATATACTTTTAATCTGTTTTCTTTTACACGATATTCATTTATGGTCCTTGTTTTCTTTTTTCAAAACTTGAACTTCGGATCTCATGAATATTTAAAATCACGCACGAACAACTGGTACGACACAACTTGCCAAATGACCAGATTAGTTGCTCCATTCTCTCGACATTCGGGCTGCATGTAACCCGTCTTAAACGATACTTCTATGCCAGGGTTTAATGTGCTGATACGATATTGGTCCAACACACGTTTAGACACCAAAATAAATTATTCAATCATTCCTGATTACGGTTACATCATTTACCGAATAAAGACGGGTGTGAGTCGAAACCCGCGATTTCCTGTTTTCTTTCCACAGTAATTCTTCCCCGTATCTGTCTTTCATGTCTTTTACCTGCGCCTTTAATCAAACGAAACGTTAGGTAAGTGTCGGGACAACGAATATTGTTTGTTTGTTTTTGAATTTCGCGCAAAGCTACACGAGGGCT